ACCTAAGAATTTATGTGCCTATATGCATAGTCCATGGACACAGACAATAGTGTGGTGAAGGCCTGCAGGGTGGTGCAGGGTGGAGGGGATCAATGGGGGAAAAAGGGAACATTTATAATGCTTTCAACAATAAAGATTAAAAAAATAAAATAAAATAAAGATTATGAATACAACGTATAAATAGTTTATAATGTCTGTTAGGCACATTATTTTCCAAAATGGATGTGACATTGGGAGAGTAGTGTATGCTTGATATTGCAATCTAGTATGTTTTTTATCAGCTGTTAAATAACCAACATTTTTTGTTAAGAGAGATGTTAATTTTTTTTTTTTTTTAATGTTTTTATTGATTTCAGAGGGAGGAAGGGAGGGGGAGATAGAAAATCAGTGATGAGAGAGTCATTGATCAGCTGCCTCCTGCACGCCCCCTACTGGGGATGGAGCCTAAAACCTGGGCATGTGCCCTGACCGGGACTCGAACAGTGACCTCCTGGTTCATGGGTCGACACTCAACCGCTGAGCCACGCTGGCCGGGTTCTATGATGTCTTTTGTATTACAACTAAGAAGAGAGGATTTGTACATATGGCACAAAATGGCACCTTAAGTTTGCATGTCTCCAGTCTCATAGGTATGAACATCTTTCCATTGGTTTTTGCCATTTGGAATTCTCATGAAGAGTATTTGTTCTTCTCTTTGGCACACTTATTCATAGATGCTTGTTTTTCATAACATATATTAGTATTAATGTGCCTCATGTTTGACTCATTTATTTTCCTTATTTTTATCACCTTCTTTGATTTTTTTTTATAAATAAAAATGTTTTAAATGTTTGTACATGTTAGCCTATTACTTTATCTATGCTACTGTGTCTGTTGCCTCAAAACATATTATGATAGAGATCTGAAATATTTTATTTAATTTAAAAAAATAACTCCTGCCTGGCCGGGCGTGGCTCAATGGTTGAGCGTCGNCCCTTCAGTCCTCAGGCCAATGCTCTAACCACTGAGCCAAACTGGCCAGGGCCATTGATTTTTTTTTAGAGAGAGTGGAAGGGAGGGAAAAGAAAGAGAAACATTAATGTGAGAGAGACATCAATTGGTTGCCTCTGGCACATGCCCCAACCAAGGGCCAGGGATTGCACCTGCAACCCATGTATGTGCCCTGAGCCAGGAATTGAACCTGCGACCCTTTGGTGCGTGGGCTGGTGCTGTAACCACTGAGCTACACCATCCAGGGCCATGTGGGAGGCAACCAATCCACGTGTCTCTCTCACACTGATGTTTCTCTTTCTCCCTCTCCCTCCTTCCCCTCTTCTATTCTCTCTGAAAATCAATGGAAAAAATATCCTCAGGTGAAAATAACAAAAATAATAAAATAAAAAGCATAGAGAATATAATAAACACCCAGGTATTGCCGCGTAACTTAAAAATATATTAAAATAGATTTTTATTTACGTTGAATTATTTCCTTCAGTAATTTGTGGCATAAGATTAT